CGGCTCCCCTCAGCCGGCTCCTCTCGGCCCCGCTCTCCCTCAGATCCACCGGCTGGAGCTCCCTTCAGCCCGGCTCCCCTCAGCCCAGTTCCCTTCAGCCCAGCTCCTCTCGGCCTCGCTCTCCCTCAGATCCACCGGCTGGAGCTCCCTTCAGCCCGGCTCCCCTCAGCCGGCTCCTCTCGGCCCCGCTCTCCCTCAGATCCACCGGCTGGAGCTCCCCTCAGCCCGGGTCCCCTCAGCCCGTTTCCCCTCAGCCCAGATCCTCTCGGCCCCGCTCTCCCTCAGATCCACCGGCAGCCCGGCTCCCCTCAGCCCGGTTCCCCTCGGCCCCGCTGTCCCTCAGTTCCACCGGCTGGAGCTCCCCTCAGCCCGGCTCCCCTCGGATCCGCGCGTTGGAGCTTCCTTCAGCCCCTCCGCGCTCTCCAGCTCCGGCTCATCGCCGCTGCCCCGGCGGTGTCCGGGAAAACATCCCCCATGGCCGCATTGTGGAAACTTCGCCTCATCTTCCCACAGGCGGCTGCGCCGGGGAAGGGGCGCCCCGGCTCCTGTGGCTCGTGCCGCGCTACATTAAAAATCAATCTCCTTGCAATTCGGCTGCGCTGGCATTAGGCGTCATTGTAAAGCTGTTTCTCCAGAAACCACCAAAAGAGAGATTCTTAATGTTGGGGAAAACACAAGACAGCAGAAAGAGGGAGAAATCGAGGGGTTTATTTGGATAAAATGCCAAATAATGCTCCGTTTGGGCGAATATTCCCCGAATAGCGCAAACACGAAGTATGAATTCAGCTCTAAGCCGGTTGTCAGAGCGCTCTTGTGGGAGGCGATGAGGGCCACTCCATGTGTCACTGTGCCCATGTCCAGAGGCAAACCCTGCCATCGATGCCCGCTGACAGCAGATGGTCCTGGCCGTGGAAGCGCACGCAGCGCACCTCGACCCCGGGGCCGTGCAGGACGGACAGCTGGCCCACGGGCAGACACAGAACCTTCACCGAGCCCTCGCCGCTGGCCAGAGCCACCAGGCCACCTGAAACACACAGCAAAGGCATCGAGCTTGGCAAAGGCTACACAACAGAGCGGCGCTGGAAGTTTTGAGGTGGTGACTTTAAAGACACACATGGTGCACTCCTATTTCCTGTGATAAATCAACAGAAAGTTGGATGGATCAATAACAATGAGATTGGATTTTGAAGCCATTAGGCCAGTCTGGAGACCTCATGTTCTCCTCACAAGGAGTCTGGGTACTGTGACAGAATCACAGAATCTGCTGAGTTGGAAGGGACCTACACGGATCAAGGAGTCCAAGTCCTGGCCCTGTGACAGGAGACCACAAGGGTAATACCATGTACCCAAGAGTATTGTCCAAACCTTTCTTGAACTCTGTCAGGTGTGGTGCTGTGATCATTCCCTGGGGAGCCTGCCCCACTGCCCAACCGCCCTCTGGAGGAAGAATCTTTCCCTAATAACCAACCTAAATCTACCCTGACACAACTTCGGGTACTGCCACTGGTCCCCACAGAGCAGAGATCAGTGTCTGCCCCTCCACTCCCCCTCACAAGGAAGTTGCAAACCCTGGTGAGTCCCTCCTCAGTCTCCTCCAGCTGAAGAGACCAAGTGCCCTCAGTCACTCCTCACACAGCTTCCTCTCAAGGCCTTTTACCATCTTTGTTGCCCTTTTGGATGCTCTCTGATAGCTTATTATTTGTTTTATGTCGCAGTGACCAAAACTGCACGCCATACTCAAGGTGGGGCTTCCCCAGTGCAGACCAGAGCAGGACAATCATTCATACTTGGATGCAATTATTCAGGGATGCATTCTGACACAGACTGAGCACCAGAGGAGTAGATCCTCTCCTAATACCTGGAGGTACCGACATCAGACCATGCTTTTGACACTGCTGTTTTTAGAGTGTACCACTCTAACACATGGAGGATGTGAGTTTTCAGCTGAATTTCCAGGTCAGGCATCTAACTGAACTGACTGCTGGCTCCCTTATATCCTTATGGAAAAAAACTATAATTAAATCCTTAGTATAGAACAGGGTTTAACAGTAGAAAAAACAAAAGAAAACCTAAAAAAGGTTCTAAGGAGTTCTCAGTTTCCACGTGCTTTTTTGCAAATCAAATGGGCTCAGTTTTCAACACTTTTAAGGAAGCAGAATGTGTTTATAAGTTTGTTATCTTCCTACTTAAATAAAAGCAGAGGTAATAGCTGGTAAGTGATATGTTTGAAGTGCCTCTTACTTACCCAGCCTCCAGATAAAGATTCTCTTTTAGAAATTAACTATAATAATCATGAGTTTCACGTACCAAAAAAACCAATACATTCATTTCAAAGCTGCTGTAGCCCTAACAACAACAGGATCACTGTACTCAGTTGTGATCTTGGTCAAACACCTATTTCCATTGAAGCAAATTCAATACACCCTCCAAGTGATTACACTCTTCTTATGTATTGAGATATTTCTCTCCGAAAGCAAAGACATCACCAGCAGAATATTCAATTATTATTGACACTGACAAAGTCAGTCTGGCACCAAAGTCATAATTTTTTTGGAAGATTATGAAAAACAGGAGATATTTTTCTATTTTTAGTAACTCAGGTTATTCAATAAACAGCCAATGGGAACATACTGCCCAACAGATGTGACCATGGAGGAATTTATCCCAGTTTTAACACTTCAGGGCCCTGGGTGTGCCTATGTGATGTACATATATCCAGGGAATATATTGTCCCTCCATTCAAACAGGTCATAACAATGGTGTTCTCTGTTCTGCTCATGGAAATCTGATGGCTTCATTTTGCCATTTATTAAAAGAAATACCTAAAGCAGCTTACAAATGCACTGAGAATATTTAACCACAACTTATGTTTAGTGTGGTCATGGATATTTGTGCAAGAAAGGGAACTAGGAAGTAGAGCTAACCATGATAAATATGCCCTATTTGCAAACCTTTATAACTACCCAGCTTCTTCATCTAGAACAAAGCCTGACACAGCAAAGATCTGTAGGATGGATTAGAGTGTCCAAAGCAGCAGATGTGAATATTTATTATAAACTCTCCTCCAGCAAGTCTTTGCTGACAGAAGCATTGCATATGGATTGCACTTGCAGTGAGGCTCTCCAGGCAATCGCTGGATAACTTCTCCAGGAGCCAAACAAATGCCATTTTGCCTGCAGCCCTGACACCACAACAGCTGGGCAGGGGGTTAATGTCACTTCCAGCTTCTCAAAACCACTAATGAACCCAGTTGTTCCAGAGAGGGACAGGCAGGAGAAAAGGTTTGGACAGCTGCATTCCACTTCCAGAAAGTAAGGGCAGGACAGAGTGACAACTGAGACAAAGCTTCAGCTCATTTAGTCCCTGGGTTGAGCAGGGGTTGGCCCCCACCCTGCATTTTCTGCATGCTTTGCTAGGTAAGTCACATGCCTGAAGCAAAACCATAGCACTCATCCTGCCACTGCATGCCAGTATTCTGACAGTCCTGGGAAATGCCAAAGCCAAGAGGAAAACAGAGAGGGCCAGTGAAAACCAGCCAGCTAGGAGGTGCAGTAGAACCCTGCACTCACCAGGGAAAGGATGATGGTGTGCTTGATGGCCGCCCTGGTGAAGAACGATTCATTTCACAGGACATTTTCCCTGAGCTAGGATGTGTTACTATTGCTGACCATGAGCACTTCCTGGCTCAGTAGCAGCAGGAGGCACAGGCAGATGCATGCGAGGGGGAATGCACAAAACGACAACATCTCATTTCCGTCACCCTTTATGTCAACGCTGATCTATGGGCTCATAACAATTTGCTCATTATAATGTAAATTTACTCCCTTCTTCCTTCCAAAAGGAGATGTTTCATTTTGGGAAGAGGGAACAAATTGTGTTTTATTGCTCTTTCAAAATTTTCTTCAATTAGGAAAGCAAACAAAACCTACTACATAATTGTGATGCAAAGCTGTATTTTAATGAAGGATACTTCCTTGTCACTAACAAAGGCACTTTGATATAACGCTAGAGGAAGATAAAAGCCTGAGGAGAGGTTGTTCTTCATACCTTTGACCCAATTGTCAGGTGGAGCTGGTCTATGCAAACTCACTGAACCGAGCAGTTAGGATGATTTGCATAGAAATTAATAGGTCCTGCTTAAAAGAAGCAAAACTTCCAAGACTCTGACCTCTAGATCTCACAGCCTCTAGATCTCCAGCTCACAAGGCTTCCCAGAACCTGCTCTGGATCTGTTGGTGCACTTGGCAGCATGGGGAGATAAAGTAAAGCTTTGCTCTGGCTGGCCCCATGCCAATCCTGAGCTCAGCCCTCTTCCTCAACCTGGCAGACAAGGAGTGATGACAAAGCACACTGCCACCACAAAGAGACCCTACACTGGCAGCCTTTGTACTAATCACAGCTGATTTGCTGTTGCTCCTTGCTAGAACACAAGCACTAATTTTTCTGATGTACCCCTATTATGTCCTTAGAATAACATAAGCTCTGACCATCTGGACACTTGCTTCAAAAAGGATGCAGTGAGTTGGAAAAGGTAAAGAAAGGTAGCAAAGCCAATTAAAGGTACAAACAACTTCTGTGCAAGGAATCCTTATGAGGGATGACAGCTTAGCTGAGAGAAAACTCTGTGCATTAAAATGTACTTGGCTGATGGTGTTTACTCCACGTGTAAACTTCAGGTTTGAGTCTGTCCTTGGGGATCCACAGAGAGATGTGGAGCCAAGCCAGATCCCAGATTACCCCCAGGGGATGGTGAAACACAGGGTTTCCATGAAAATGCTTATCTGAATCCCACCTCACCTTGGAGCTGCAGGGCAGCCACAATCTGGAATCTCTGGACATTCACCTTTTTGCTTGGACCAGACTGAATTTACTCTGAGGAATCACTGTACTTTCAGCTCTCTTTTTTTCCCCAGCACTGGAGTTAAGTACTGCTGTAGGTTTCCACTCCCAGTGTCCTACAGAGAAAAGTTCTGTTCTTGTCTCTGGACTGGCAATGCTCTTCATTTTGGACATTGATTAATTACAAATGCAGTGCTGTTGTTTGGGTTGGAAATACATATGTACTCAAAACAATAAAAATCATCCATGCCCTTCTAAAAGAACTATTCCTGCTACTAAAACTGTATCTCTACATTGTTTTGAGAGTAGAGGTGAAACCTAAAATAATTTAGTACCTCAGAGATAGTAATATTTTAGGGTTTTTTTGGCTTGTTTTTTGTCTTTTACTTTTAGGATACATACCCCACTTTGGAGAAGGAGGTAGTTTAATTATTTTGTATAAAAATCTGTTATTGTAAATTTTTCAAATGTACATAAAGTTATAGGCTTGATAAAGGCCGTAGCCATAAAATGCCAAAAGCAGGAATCTGGGAAAAATCCCACCAAATTTACTGGAGTATCCATACTAACCTAAACATGTGAGTTTAAAAGCAAAGTTATCGCATTCAGTGAGGCTCAGTTGTGTTAGATAAAAGTAAGCAACCTGCTTTTTCTCATCTCTAAGGAACTTTGCATACCTATGCAAAGGAATCCTAAGGAACCAAAGCCCCTCCTGTGAATACAGTATGAAATCCATCTCCTAATTTGAACCGGTGGATAAATTTAAAATAGTGCAGGCGTGTTGAAGCAATCTAATTTGTTACTGCATTTCTTTAGAAGACAGAACTAGACAAGATTAATTTTCTGGGTTGATGGATCCAAATTACTTGGGGTAAAAGGAACAAAACCTGTACTTGTCAAAAGACAGTTTGACAATTTATATTTCGTAAGAGCCTAACAGAAATCACAACCGTGATTACTGTCTTCCTTGTACAATGAATTTTGAGTGAAACCTTGCCAGGACCACACTACATACTGCTTTACATGTCCAAACAGCTGGAAACTGTGACAGTTTTGGAGCAAACCACCACCACCACTCCTCACTGGTGAGCCTTTTTATATGCCCATTAAAACATAAAACTTTTCTTTGGGAAAATTAATTTGCTAATTTTGTAACATTCCAGTATCAAATACTCTGAAAAGTCC